AAAATGTTATGAGTCCATTTCCCATTGCTATAACGAAATGCCAAAGACCGGCTCATTTATAAAGCACAGAGCATTGTTGGCTGGGTTTGGTTTCTTTCTGTGGTGCTGGGGATCAAACTCAGGACCTTGTGTGTGCTAGGCAAGGGCTCTATCACTGAGCTACACCCCAGCCCCCAAATACAGATTTGTTTGGTTCAGGGCTGTGAGCTGGAAATCAAGAGCGTGGTACTGCATCTTGGTGAGGGCGGCCCACTGAATCCCAACATGGCGGCGTGTTTCCCATGGTGGGATTGGAGGCATGCTAACTCAGGTTTCCCGTCCTCTTGTTTTATAATTCCACTAATGACATCCTGGGGGCCCCACCCTCCTGATCTCATCTAACCCTAGTCACCTCCTAAACGCCTCACCTCCAGGGGCATGGGCGTAGCAATTTGTGGGAGACAAGTTTGAGCCATAGCACAGACACTTGAGTTTTCAAACTTGGTGCACGGGAAGTGAGCACGTGAGGAAATAAAAGAGTTGGCCAACGTGGCCATGATCTGGAATGATCGCATTGGAGGGGAGTCTGAAGGAGACAGGCAGAATGACCCAGGAGAGGCTGAGAACATAAGCTCCAACTAGGAGAGCCTGTTCCATGTTCCATGAAGCCTTTGAGCAGGGCCATAGCACAGAGAGGCAGAGAATCTCTGCATAGCCACCAATGTCAGCCCTGTGTCTAGCAGCACGGATTCTTAATCAAAGATGGTGAAGATCGGGATCTAACAGCCAGAACTCCACGTCTCAATCTTTCAAGGGACCAGAAGCAGCCAACTTCAGGGCCCCTCACATAACAAAATCAGACCCAATGGGGCTGAAGAACAAGTAGAAGCATGTGAAGAGATTGAAGGAGGAGGAGGAGCAAGTCACCTCCTCGAGGGCCAAGTCCAGCTTCTCGTGGGTATCTGGGCTTACGGCCTCGCACGCGCGGTTGTATGCTGGAGAGAGCCTTCAGCCCCTTACTTAATGGAAGTCCATAGCGCTTCATTTCCTGGGTGCGCATTGGGGTAAGCAGGTGGCAAGCAGCTGGCGTTTCTCACTTGCTTTCTGGCATTTCCCATTTTTATAAGAAGCTAACCTGGCATTTTTTATTATAAAGCCCCAGAGTCCCCAGATTTTAATATCTTCACTGTTAGAGTCGTGAAGGGTTTGGAAGTTGGGCCGTTGCCCGAGGCTGGAATTTGATGGAGTGAGCAACTTGTCACTTGGAATATGATTTGTTTGCTCAAGGGAGGGAGGAAGAGCATGGGACAATCAGATGGGATCTGGGTGTGAAGAAGTGCAGGAATGCTTACTCTCCGGTGAGAGTTTTAAATCCTTCCTGACAACCCAGGTTGTTGGTTTTCTTCCTTTCTTTTTTTCATTAACTGATTTTGAAATGAACTGCCTTTGTGCTCAAGGCAGCTAAGAGCCTGGGACCGTCTTCTTCTCACTGTGTCTTTTAGTTGGAGGTCAAGCAGTGGGCAAGCAATGGGACACACTCTGTGGAGTCCAGCCTTCCTAGCGCAGGCTAAACTTAATCCTGCTTCAGCATCTTTGCCCACAGTTGGTTTCTTTCAGCTCTCAGCATCAAGGCTTCCTCCCCAGAGTGGCCTTCTCGGCCACCCTTGAACTTTCTGCAACTACCAGCATTAGAAATATCGAATTATTCAATCCCATTTCTCATGTTCCAGTCAGAGTCTCTGGGAGCAGGGCTGGTCATTCTTGGTCAAGGAGACCTGCCAGGGGCCCAGGCTCCTAAACAATGGTGGGATCAGGCAGGAAGCAGGGAGATGGGGTGCAATACAGAGGGGTGAGGATTGAGGCAGAGGAGATATTAAATTTAAGACCACACATGCCTGTACACCAGTAGCTCACCTTCCGAGCAGACCATTTGTTATCCTTAACTATAGCCCTTGAATTCCACAGGCTGGATCATTTAAAGGAGGTAAAAAGGTTATTTTTCTATTTGTGTACTTTATATAATGGACTCTAGGTAGCCTGAGCGTTTGGCCAATGATGGTATGTAGGAGTATGGGTTTGTTTTGTTCTTCTCCCTGTTCAAGAATTTGAAAGGCAAGAAAGTGTTTTAAAAGAGGACAAAGGACAGCCATGAAAGTAGGGAACAGAGCCTCTCTATTTGAAGAGGGAGCCAAAAGTAGAGCACAATGGCGGGGCTGGGGGGTGGGGTTATTATATTACATGACTCCTCCCATTTCTCCTCTCCCTGGGCTTTGTGCTGATTGGTTGATGGCTTGTGCACACAATGCTCTTGACTCTCTGCATTGGTTGAGCAGGTACCTAGGACATTATGGAAAGAAGAAGCATTTGTGTGGGAACCCAAAGCATTATGGGAGCAAGAAGCTCCATGATGGAACCACCTGTTACCTGCTATGTGATAGGTCCACCACTTCTTTAATCCCTGTCTACTTCACGGTCCTCCTTTTAATTTCCCCTCCCTTTCTCCTGGTTGTGCTGTCAGTAGAGCTTTGTTTATTTTGATTTGAGGCAATGGTGTGTATTTTTCTTATACGTCACTGTTGATCTAGTTTGCTGTGACTTAACATTTGGGTTGTAGCTTAGTTCAGGCTGATGTAAGGAAGTATAGAGACTGCTTAGAAACAACAGATATTTATTGCTCACAGTTCCAGAGGCAGAAGTCTGGGATTGGAGCAGGACAGCAGCATGGTTTGGCTGTGGTGGGGTTTCTCTTTCATTGGCAGACAGTGGCCCCCCCAAACCCTGCAGCCTCTGGTGGTGAGAGGGTGGGCTCTCTGGACTCCCTTTTAATTCCTTATTTAATGTTCTTGACTATTCTGCATTTCCTGGGGTCCCGTTTATAAGAGTTGCTAATCTCACTTATGGCTGATCACCCCCCACAGCCCCAACTTCTAACACCACCCCATTGGGGTTAGAATTTCCTCATAGGAAATTGGGGGATACATTCAGTCTTTCCCAGTTGGCTCCAGCGTGGGGCTGATAAATGCCTGCTCTCGGCGTTTGCTAAGTTCTAGCGCTTGTCTAGGTTGGATGCGTGTGAGGTGCCGCTAGGGCACCTGGGGGGAGGGGAGGAATGGCTTATCTGGAGCCATTTGCCTATTTTTCTACTTGCAGATGCAGCAAACCGGGGTTGCACAAAGTTACACCCCAACCCGGAATGGAGTGAGTTTGCTTCCTGTGGCACAGGGCCCGGCGGGGAGGAAGGGAGGCGAAGACCCCGCTGCGGGAGGAGGAGAGCAGGGAAGGGCACTTGAGCTGTTCACCCTCACTCAGCCACTCTGAGCGGGGACTCAGTCTGGGAACTATAGCGGTGGGAGGCCCTGGCCGGTAATGAGTGTAGGTGGTTGCGCAAGAACGAGGCATCAGGGGAGAGAAATCCACCCACGGCCTCCGCCATCGCCAATGCTTAAATGTCAATATGGCTTAATTGGCTGCTCAGCCCACCCTGCCTCCAACCGCTGCTGGGCCAGCTTCAAAACATGCTGCCTTGGATGTGGGGGGGCAGCCTTGAGTCACCGGGGAGGGGGAGGGGTGCCCTTGCTGACTTTCTGGGCGACCTTGACAGGTGAATCAGACCATCCGTGAGTCAGCCCTCTGCCTTGGGAGGCTCACCTTCAGCAGGTGAAGAGCTAATCTTAGTCAAACAACATGGGTGGTCACAGGTATTTTGAGGGGTATGAGAGTAGCAGGTGACTAGAGGCAGAGATGACAGAGATCATAGATAGACAGATGTATAAATGGAGCTTTCTGTATTTGCAGGAGTGTGTGTGTGTGTGTGTGTGAGAGAGAGAGAGAGAGAGACACCACTTTATTGATCATTTATTTACTGCCTCTCATAATGGATGAGCCTTGCATGGAGTCTTTCTGCCTGGAGAGGAGCTATGTCTTTACATACTTGAGTTTACATACAGTTGGCCCCCTTCTACAGATAATACCACTAAGGTTGAGAGAGGACAACTTACTCTCCCAGGGCCACACATGCAGTATATGACAGATCAGATCCTAGCACCATGGAGTCTGACTCTCAGCCCCTCATGATCCTGAGCAGTGTGCAGGAATGCATACTGGGTGCCAGGCACCCACTGTACAAAACTTTATCCTCTCCAAATCCCCAAAGAAACGACAAGGCTAAGTCTCACTGATTTCCTTCAGGAGGTGAGCAAAATGGGGCTCAGAGAGGTAAGTAACCCAGCCAAAGGCGCACAGGGAGCCGTGCTGGGATTCAGACACAGGAACTTGAATGTCAGCAAGGTCCAACAGTAACGCTCGGACTGAGAAGACCACGGTGAAACCAGAATTCACTCGTTCATTTACTCAGCCACTGTTTATCGCACGCCTGCTTTGTGTGTGCTGGCACTGAGCCTCCCAGGGGAGGACAGGACAGAGAGACGCGCAGGCAGCTAATGAGGAGGTGTTACTGTCTCTGCACGATGTCTTTTGTCATCCTGTCGTTCATCCTCAACCGCTGGTCCTCCTGATGAAGCCAATGAGGCCGAAAAACCCTTCTATCTAGACAGGTGTCTGGTCCAGGCTGGTTTTATTGGTGTTTACACACCCCCTTCTGAAGGATTGAGTGTATCATTTGCCGATGGTACTTGGCCCCTGTCAGCCGAAGCTTGGCTGGTCTGTCGTCACTGTCCCTATTCTCATGGGGCCCCTGGCAAGTGCCAGCAGCTGCCCCTAGTGCTCGCTGAGTGGGGTCAGGGGACACAGAGATTGTCAGTATGTGCGTGACTTTCTGCCCGTGACACCCTGGGTGGTCAGGAAATGGGGTAGGTTCAGTGGCAATCCTTAAAGAATCTACAAGAACTTTTTTTCCAGATCTTCACACACACCCCAGAACCAGCTCCAGCGTCCAGCCCAGGTCCTGTTCATGAGCTCCAGTGGCAAGTGACATCCATCATGTGTGACCTCTCATAACTGTGGCCACCTTCTTCATGACTGCTGATCGCTTCCAGAAATGACCTTGACCTTTTACTTTGCAGCCTCTGTAAGGGTCGGACGCTCTACTCGGTGGTGAGGGACGCCAAGATTGTCCTGGATGTCAACAAAACCAGGCAGATTGCTCAGGAGATTGTGAAGGTATTTGGGGACACCCCCTCCTCCTGAACCTCAGAAAGACCTCCCCCCAGCCCCTCCTGAGAAACCCCACAGGTTTGAGACTTTGAGACTCATGGTCTCATCCCCCACTTAAAAAGTACTAGGTATCATGTGCAAAAGAGTTCTTCAGATGCCGCATTTAGCAATTCTCTCCAGCCCATTGGTCTGCGTCCATGCTCCCGTGTGAGGGCTGACAGGTGCAGAGACATGGCCAAGGCCCCTTGGTTCCTGATCCATTATCTGAGTCCTTGGAATTCCCCAAAGCGCAAGCCATCTCTCCTCCCCGCTGCAGCTGGAGAAACAAATCCTTGGGTGTTGTTTGTATTCAGGCAAAAAAGGAACATCCTGCGATTCCCAGCAGGCATCTTATTTGCCATTGGAAGCGTTAGTCCCGCAAAGAAGCAATTAAAAAAATGGGACTTGCTCATGAAGGCAAAAATAAGTTTCTGCACATCTGCCTTTGACTTAGACCTCTGGTAGACTCTCCTCTGGGCTCTTCTGGTCTCTCGCAAACCTTCTCCTGAAAACCTAGGTGCATGCTTCAGGGGTGCCAGCTGAATAAAGAAGGGGCCTCCATCTCTGAAGGGGAGTGAGAGCGATGGCCGAAGGGAGTCCCTTTTCTCTGAGAACGTCACTCCCCCATTGTCCCTGTTCATCCCACGGCTGTGTCTTGTTTGGGGAACAGACCAATCAAGAGGAGATGGCTTTGCAGTGGTCTATGGGAGCGGGGGTGCAGGGGGGAGCTGGGTCTCGCTTGCTGCGCCTCCTTCCATCCCATCTCCAGACTCCAGGGACCAGACCGGACCGACCCCAGGCTCATCTGCCTCATAGCAGAAGTCGGGGTGGCAGCTGGTGCTAGGGTGTCCTGTGACAGCGCCCTCCTCTGCTTCCTGCAGGGAATGGGCTACCTGCACGCCAAGGGCATCCTCCACAAGGACCTCAAGTCAAAGAACGTCTTCTACGACAATGGCAAAGTGGTCATCACGGACTTCGGGCTCTTCAGCATTTCCGGGGTGCTGCAGGCTGGCAGGTGCGAGGGTGGGAGGAGGCGGGAGAGTCCCCCGGTGATAGGGCGACCTCTCATGCGGCCTCCATGGCCCGCAGCTGAGTGGAGCCTCCGGTCACTGGGCCGCGTTGGGAGGCTGGCATGCTTCCAGGTCATGCTTTGTTGCCCCTTGGTTTTGGATGGCCCTGGGATTGGAATTAAGGCCTCTGCACTTGCTAGATAAGGGCTCTACCACTTGAGTTGCACCCTCAATGCTTTTTATGCTTTTTTTTTTTTTTGTACTGGGTGTCAAGATTTCGCCTGGGGTCAGCCTCAAACTGACATCCTTTTGATCTCTGCCTCCTGAGTAGCTGGCATTACAGACTTAACGCGCTTAGTCCTATGGGGCTTGCTTCCTGTTCTGTAAATGGCACCTTTGGGGGCAGGCATTGGGCACAGAGCCCCCCCAAATCCTGCAAAGCTTTTGCCCTTAAGTTTGGTCCAAGGGCTCTCCCCTTACTTGAGTCCTCACCTGGAAGGATGGGGTCACGCAAGAGCCCCTGCCCCACTTACCCAGTCATCATTCATTCTAGCACCTCAGGAGTGCAGGCCGAAGAGCCAGGGTTTAGAGTGAGGCTGCGGCCCCGGGGCTCTGCCACTTATTACCTTGGACTTCCATCCAGATGCACAACTTAGGAACTTGAGCTTCCTGATCTAAGGAAACGATGCCTGCCTCCTAGGGTCCTTGCAAGGATACAAAGGAACATGCCCGGCAAGCACCCAGCGCCACACCTCGGTTCACTTCAAACGCCTGACAAATAGTAGCACTGCGAGAGTTGTTATAATTAGCATTAATTTGCATATCCCTTCCTCAGTATCACCCAGAGAATGATTAACCAACCTTAAGTAATTAACTCTCTGAGGCAGTTAGCCCCAGAGCATGTGAGAAACAGTTTGGTCCCTTATAAGCAACCCAGAATTCAGAGGCCCTGTCCTGTGACTTTTAATTTGGAGTGTGTGCTTGCGTGCATTCTAAACCCCTGTGTGTTTTCTTCTCGTCCTGTGGGTTAGGAGGAGTGTCCTGTTGCTGCAGGAACACCGCCTTTGGTTTCTCTCACTTCACTTGAAACCTCAGTTGCTTCGAAGAGCCCCTGAATTCTTCAAAGGACACCCTGGCGTTAGGGTGTTAGGGGTGGGACAGACAGCCCCACATACAGTAGGTACTCAGCAGTAGCCTGGCATACAGTAGGCACTCAACAGTGGCTTGGGAGGGAGGAGGCAGCCAACCAAGCACTCAGACCCAGACATCCCAGCATACGGCTACTCGGCTGTCCTCAAGAAGACGCGCTGGTTAACATGCCAGCCCCACGGTGCCAGCTGCCCGTATTAATCGTAATAATAGCCACAATGAAGATGATTCGTGTTGTCACTGGTGGGCCCGTCACCATGGAAACCCGACGCCCCGGGGTGTCGACACCAGGCCTGGCTTCTGGTTTCTTCCTCCAGAGAAGTTGCCCACGCGGCCCCAGGCTGATGGTAATTGTGTGGCCTCCACTCCTCCTTGCGTCCTAGTGACACTCCCTCCTCCCCCCCCCCCCCCCCCCGCCAGTCCTCTACTGACCCAGCAGGGCAGCGACAGCAGTGGAGGCGTGATGGTGGAAACTCACGTACATTGGGCAATTTGTTCTTGTGTCCACCACAGCTTCCCAACCCACCATTCCCCATCAGCCTGGCCGTGTGCACCTGGAGAAGGCTAGTCTTTCCAATGCCCTCGTTCTTCCTTCCTTCCTTCCTTCCTTCCTTCCTTCCTTCCTTCCTTCCTTCCTTCCTTCCTTCCTTCCTTCCTTCCTCCAGTCATGGGGTCTGAACTCTGGGCCTGGATGCTGTTCCTCAGCTCTTCAGCTCAAGGTGAGCGCTTTACCACTTGAGCCACAGCGCCACTTCCGGCTTTTTTCTTTTTGCTTATGTGGTGCTGAGGAATCCCAGGGTCTCAGGCATGCAAAGCAAGCGCTCTACCACTGAGCCACCTTCCCAACCCAATGCCCTTTTTCTTGGAGGACATTCTTATTGGGGGTCCTACCCTCAACTCCATTTCTGAGTCTTCAGGATAAAATGTGTATTATCTCTGTGTGTACATAGGTGTGAATGCACACACATGTAGACAGAGATGTGTGTACACATATACACGCACACAAGCTAACATCTATACTCACAAGCCAATCATGATGTGAGGATGTCACGCAACCCTGGCCACTGAAATAACCTTGTATAATGTGAGCTCAGTCCTTTCGAGGGCTGACTGTGGTACACACTAATGTGCCCATTTAACAGGCAGGAAAATAGAGGCCTGGGTTGGTTAGAGGTTTCATAACCGGAAAGCAGCCAGTGGATCATCAAGCCCCCGCAGGTCCTCTAGTTCTAGAAGCAAGCATCTTCCAACCCTGCCCATTCTGGGGTTTGCTGTGGAGAGAGAGCTCAAGTCCTCTTCTAGAGAAGAATGTCTCTACCATGTTCCAAGATGCTGAAACTCTAGATTGGAATCATTCCCTTACTTTATATACATTAGGACAGAAACATCTCAACAGGGGCCATTTTCTCAGCCAGGGTCATGTGATGATGTCTGGAGATAAGTTTTAGTTGTTGTAGCTGGCGTGGAAGGTGTGTTGGCATCTAGTGTGTAGAGACCAGAGACAGCGTTTCTAAGCATCACAGCAGAGAAATCATCCAGACTTAAATTTGTCAGTCATACCTAGGTTGAGAAGCCCTGGATTTCAACAGATTCATCATTGGTATCCATCTAATTGCATTGTTTTCTGTCCCTTCTGCCAGTGTGCTTTTGGCATGGAAATGTAAGGGGTAGACAAGTGGCCAGGTCCTGGGGTAGCATACCTGGAACATCCAAACAGGAAGGCTGAGATTACAGCAGTTACCAGCCGTGTCCCCTTCCCACGGCTGCTGTTAGGGAATGTATCCAAATCACCGTATGTATATCCAAATGGGCCTTCTGTGCTCTGAGACCACCTGGAGAGCACAATTCTGAAATGCACCAAGCTTCTCACCTCCCCCGTTCCCAGCTAGTGAATGGGACAGCAGCACTGGACCCATCCTCCTCCCCCTTCCCCAGCTCTGGACTCCTGGAGGCTTCTTCCGAGTTCTTTCCTCTATTGATGTTTCTGAATCTGTGGTCTGCCTGCAGGTGGACTTCAGGGAAGGCATGTGCAAGCATTTATCATTTTAACTGGGACATTTCAATACCACTTTCCACTTACGGCTGTGCAAAGAACAGACTTACGAAAACATATTTAGGCAAGTGTCTCAGCACTAGGGAGGCTGAGACATAAGGATCAGGGGTTTAAGGCCAATCTAGGCCCCGTAGCAATTTCCAGATCAGCCTGAGCTACATAGTGAGAACTTGCCTCAAAAATCTAAGGGCAGAAGTATAGTTCTGTGGTAGAGTACTTGCCTAGCATGTAAAATACTTTTGGCATGATCCCTAGCATCACAAATAATAAACCATATTTAAGTTAAAATTCATATTTGGTTCATAATTGTCTAGATCTGATTGGGTTATGTAACTTGTTAGCCACTAGCCACAAGTGGCCATATATATTTAACTATAATTAAAATGTAATCAAGTCATAAGTTTTGTTCTTCAGTTATAGTGGTCATCATGCTGGTTAGCAGTGTGGTTAGAAGTGGCCATGTTGGACAGCCATATTGGACCTCCATATTAGCAGAGAGCAACTCTCATCTTGGACCACTCTGTTTGACAATGCTCTTCCTGAATGTAGCCAGAGAGGACAGTCAGAGTTCTGGAATGTGAATGAGCACTCTTGAGGGGTCAGTATCATACCTCACATAGGCCAGAAACCTACAAACTCTGGAAGCTTTGTAGAATGCAGCAGCCTCTGGACCCCACAGAAGACCTTCAGGGGAGCTGAGATACTACACGATCTCACTCTTGATCTACCCTGTGGTAACTGGCCCTTTCCTTCATGGAAGTTCTACTGAGCTGTTCATTGCAAGTGCAGAGCTCTGATTTGCTAAAGATTTGCCATATATAGAAGGGACCTGGGCTCCCTCCTCTTCTAAGAGTTTATTCTGAGGGACAATAATAGAGCTGGGTAAAGGGAGATAATTGGTATCTACCCAAAGATGTTCGTTGCAGTGTTGTTTATCATGAATAAAGGAAGAACTAGCCAAGTCCTATCAGTAAGGAGTCAGCTGTATGCATTTTAGCTCACAGGATGCATGGTGGTTCCATTTATACTGGTGGTGGTCTTTAGAGTTTAGAACCTAAGAGTTCTAGATGTGTAGGCCTGCCTTGGGCCTTAGAACTAGCCTCCCCTTCCTCTCCTTGTTCATATGGCTGAATCTTCTGTGTTGCTAGCTCTGAGTTCACCTTCAGGACGTTTCTTATCCTGGATGTCTTCACTGTTTTAAATTTTTCAGTAACACCACTGTTAGTATTTAATTCATTTGTGGTCTCTTTCTTCTACCAAAGAGCAAAGGCCAGGGATCTTGCTAGTCTTGTTCATGGTTGTTTCAAAGACCAAGAATCTAGTACATGAGTTTATTTTTAGGATTTTTAAGTGAACTACAGCTTATGTGAGATTTGTGTATGGGTATGTATTTCCTCAAGGAACAATGATTTAGTGTTTGCTGTGTCAATATCTTCTAATACCCGGAGACTTTGTACTATGGAACACAGCTATCACAAAGAAGAATTGACTGTAATGGTTGGCCGTAGGAGCCGGGGTGGTTTGAGTGTCCAGTGTTTCTCCCCAGGGCTTTCATTCCAGTTCTCTCTTCCTGCACTTTCCACTGGGTCTCAGCCTCAAGTTGAAGGTCAGGTAGAACCCAGTGGGGGAAAGCCAAAGCAGCAGAGGACTTGGGGGGTTTAGGATTAGGGCTCAGTCTGCGCTTTGATCTTCCAGGCGTGAGGACAAACTGCGCATCCAGAATGGCTGGCTGTGTCACCTGGCTCCAGAGATCATCCGCCAGCTGTCCCCTGACACAGAGGAGGACAAGCTTCCCTTCTCCAAGCACTCGGATGTCTTTGCACTCGGGTAGGTGGCCCACCCTGGCCTTGGAGAGTCCAGCATGGGACAGAGGGCATTCCCTCGCCCCCTGCTCTTGCCATGATTGTGGAAGGGCAGAGACACCTGAGAGGGGGAGAGGAGAGAGGCAGAAGAGATTTCTGAGTGAAAATAAGGGGATCTGAGTGGAACATAGTAGGAAAAAAAATGACCCAAACATGCCTGTATGGCTGGTTTCTTATCGGTTATGTGGATACCCCAGGTTACCTGAGTCATTCATTCATTCACTCATTCATTCATTAGCTCCCTGCTATGTGCTAGGACTGTTACAGAGGCTGGGCTACAAATGTCATTCATGTATTGGTTAGCTACTGCTGAATCACGAGTTTTCCCAAACTCAGCAACCTGGAACAAATGGATCCTGTCTGTGCTCAGGAATGTGGGAATGGCTTCTGAGCTGTGACTCTGAGCTGGCCTGAGTCACTCAGGAGGTGACAGTTGAGGTGTCTTGGAAGAGGGAGCTCACAGCTTGGTGGCAGGATCCCCCAGCCACTTGTGATGTGGTCTCAGGAGTTAAGTAGCATCGTTTCCACTCTTCTGGGACTTTCTCATTCAGTTTTGACTAACGCACAATTACCCACATTTAGGAGAATTTTTACCCCTTTGTGCATTGTGTGCTGAGCAAGTCAGGGTGACTCACACTATCATCTTACACATCTTCCTTGTGGCAGAAACAGTCCAAATTGTCTCTTCAAGATACGTTCCACGGTAGGGGACACAGGGCGGTAAACCAAAATGTATTCTAGACTTCTACAGGGAGAAATACTGAAGAACTCATAGACCTATTTTCCACTCAGCACAGATTCCCTCCTCTGATCTTGTGTTATGGAGGACAATCTTTTTGGACCAAAAGGAGATGAGGGCTGTGCGGGGAATCACCACAACACTAGTGGAATTGAAAAGGATCCCATCTCCACCTCGAGTCTCTTCTAGGAGGAGATGACTCATAGGCCTAAGTTGAATACGGACGGGGTAGAGTGAGCTGTTGGAGGAGGAAGGGATGTGCACAATGGTACACAAGGAGGAAAGCGCACGCTGTCCATGGTGAAGGAACACGTGAGGCGAGGGTCGTGGGGAGGAGGAAGCAGATGGATGGAGAGTTTAGGGGAAGGGAGGAAGGCGGTAGGTGGTAAGATGAGCGACTGAAGAGGGAAGCCAGTCAATCCTGAAAGCACTTCATGGCAGAATTGAGATTTTATTTCATCTTCAAGGCACTAGGGAGCCCTTGATGGTTATGGAGCCAGAGGTGGCTTCATCATAATTACAGTCTTAGTGCAATCAGGTCAATCTGACTGCTATGCAGAGAACAGAATGGAGGAGGACATCGGCGGGGGGTGGGGGGGCACTCCCTAGGGAGATTCTGGCCCCTACAGAGTCAATGCCTGTGGGTATGGAGCTGAGACAGACTGAAGGACTTCAGGGACTGACATGTCAGCATTTGGTGATGGGCTGGACGTAGATGGTGTTCAGGTATCCACCACTACCTGAGCAGGTTAAGGATGAGGTCATCCACCTAGGTGGAGACCATGGCGGTAAGACGGGGCTGCACCACGCTAGGGAGGCCAAAGAAGTCGAATTTGGACATGGACTGTGAGTCTCCATGCCTAGAGTCTAGGAAAGAGGAGTTGAGGCCTTGTCAGGAAATAAACAATAGCCATAACCACTCGAGGGAATGACATCTTTGGAAGTAAAGGGTTAAGACGACTCCGAGACACAGCCGAAGGTTCAGGGCAGAAAATCCTGGTGTGGCTCACACCTGTGTATCTTAGCTACGCAGGAGGTAGAGAATGGGAGGGTTGTACTTCAAGGCCAGACTGTGGAGTGGGGGGAAGGGAGAGTATTCAGCGAGATCCCATCTTAACCAGCAAATGGATGTGGAGTTGCATCCCACTAGAGGCAAGAGCAAGAGGGGGAAACATAGTAAAGCATTAATGGACTGCAAGTGAGACTCACAAGGTAGAGCACCTGCCTACCAAGGCCCTCTGTTTCAAACCTCACAGCCAGAGGGCAGCCGGCAAGCGGTCTGTGCCCTGTTCTTTGAATGGCCACGCCAGTCCTTGCCTTATCTATGGGTAGATTCAAGGGCTGGGGACGCTGGCAGGGACAGTGGCAGTCCAGCAGATGTGTTCACTTAGACATGGATCCCTGAGACACGTTAGATAGTTGCTCCATAGTACCTCACTGCCACCACCACCACCCCCCAGCCCCCGGGTGGTTCAAGATCAGAGTCCTTAACACCTGTCACTTAGGCCTCTTTTGAGCTGTCACTTGCCCTGATTAGTTAATGCCCAAATCTTTATCCAGTTAGATACCGTTCATCTGAAACTAAATTGCAGTAATTAAGCCGCTGTATTTTAGTATCAGTTTAGCAAAAGGGGGGAAAAACATAATTAACAAAATGTACCAAAGTAAGTAATTGGTTTTCCATGAAGAGTTTTCATCTTTAGCAAAAAAAAAAAAAATGTCCTCTCAAAGTGGATTTCTCTTAAAAGTTGGTCTTGAAAGGAAGTTTTAATGAGGCTCTTATTTCTGACACTGTTGCTGTGCGAAGGCCCTGGCGCTCTTGGATTCCTGCCATTTAGGAGCATCCTGTTGCTTGGGAACCTGGAGCGCAGGGATGACTTAGGGGAAAAAAAGCCTTTCAGAAGTCTATTGAGTGTTGTGGAATTTCACCCTTTCTCAGCCAGAGCTGTTGTGGTTCCCATTTTGAGTGGGTCGAGGGGAGGCTGGGGTCCATTTGGCTCAGCCCGAGATCTCTCAGAGCCGAGCCCCAGACTCCAAACTGCAGCTGTTCACCTTGAGCTCCATACTCCATGTCCACCCAGAGCCCTGCTGCTTTCAGCTCAAGTCACGGTGAATCTCCTCCCCCACCCCGCAGGCCATGTAAAGGTTGGGGAGGGGGAAATCCCTCTGTCAGGCACTCAGCCCAGGAGAGAGCTCTGGCAAAGGGCCTAGTCTCCACCACCCAGCACAGGGGTGCCTTAGCACACACCGCCCATCACCGGCTGGGGTGCGCCCCCAAAATCGTCACCTCCTGTATGACAAAGGTGTCTGGCATCAAAGAAGGTATCCTGGGAAAGGCACGCTGTGGGAGACGTGGGGAAGCTTCAAGTGTGTTAACCCGGAGAGGAAGAGACTAGGGAGAGGAGGAGAGGTCAGCCAGGAGCACAGCTAGGCAGGTGGCGCTGGCAGGGAAGGGACGTGGGGTCACCAGGGACATCGCACATCACCTCCTTTTAACGTCTGCCAACAGCACGATCTGGTATGAACTCCACGCCAGGGAGTGGCCTTTCAAGACCCAGCCAGCAGAAGCCATCATCTGGCAGATGGGGACAGGAATGAAACCCAACCTCAGCCAGATTGGCTTGGGAAAAGAAATCTCGGTAAGTCCCTCCATCCTGCAGGACCACAGGCAAGGGGAAAAGCAGGCATAGCTCCAGAAGGTTCCACCCACAGCCTTATGAAGTTAGGGTCTGGGAGTTCCAGCAGTCTCTGCACTATGCCTGCAATTCCAGGTGCTTGCCACCAGGGGCGCACTAACACCTAGCCGTACTGCATCTTAGCAGTGGACTTGGCTGAGTTCGGAACCAGCCAGTCTCTTTTCTTTCCTTCAAGAAATATTGATTAAAATATCAGAAATATGATTGGTTTTTTCACTTCATCTTCATCCCTATAATAATTTTAAGGCATTATCTAACTCTCAGAGCAAGATAGACACAGAGAAGCCTGATTATAAATTAATAACTTTCCTCTTAGGCACAGCGGGACGAATCCTCTCTTTTGATCAAAAGATAAGTCAGAGGAGCAGTAATGACCTGGCGTGTCTGTCAGGATTACCTGCCTGCAGGTTTCCTCTCGGGTGAGGACTACAAAAAAGTAACTTTCCTCCTCTGTGACTTTGAAGGTTACTTACATCTTTAGACTTCAGCATTTCCTTCTACCCCTCACTTTTTGTTTTTTGAGAAAAATGCTGAGAAATACATTTGGAACTATTATTGATCTTGATGTTTGGTAGCATGGAGCCTGCCTGGTTTATTGTATGGGCTCAGAAAGTAAGTAGGAAGAATGGATGAATTGATGGATGGATGGATGAATGGATGGATGGATAATGGTAGATAAAAAATGAGTAAGTGAATTAATATGATTGGATGGTTTTATGAATTCTGTTTGGTGGATGAATGGATGGATGGATGGACATACATTTGAATGGACAGATGGATGGATAGATGGAAGAATATATGGGTGGGTAGATGGATGATAGAAGAAAGATGAGTGAATTGCTATGGATGGATGGATGCTTTGTGGGTGAACAGATGGATGGAGAGGTGAGTGGCTGGGCACACGGATGAATGGTGACAGAGAGATAAGGATGTGAGGCAGAAAGGTAGACAGACTGACAGACCCTACGAGGTGCAAAGTGCCAGTACTTCAATGAGGAGCCAACAAAGTCGGCACGCATTTTAACCGCCACCCGCTGGTGTCTGTAGGACATTCTTCTCTTCTGCTGGGCCTTCGAGCAGGAAGAGCGGCCCACCTTCACCAAGCTCATGGACATGCTGGAGAAACTGCCGAAGCGAAACCGCCGCCTGTCTCACCCTGGACATTTCTGGAAGTCTGCAGAGTACGTTTCTTCTCTCTACAGCACCACCCACTGCTCCACTCCCCTGCCTGTCGGAGCCAGTCAGTCCCTTCCTTGTACTGCACCCTCAAATCCCACCTGCTTCCCAACCAGGTCTCTGTCCAGCGAGTCTGCTGTGGAGTTTGGGCCTTGGAGGCTGCCTGTGATTACCACAGAGCCTTCATGACTTAGCCCCTCTGTGAGGCCTGATAGCATAGAGATCTCCCTTAGCCCCAGTGGCCTGCCCCATCACGGCCGCTCTTGGCTCCCAGCATTCCCCACTGGAAAGGTTCCCAGCTTCTGGCCTGAGGGACCTCTGCCGTCTTATGAAGAGGCCCCACACCCCTCCCCTTCCCTGTTGGGGTTGCAGATCTGGGTCTCCCCCAAGCGTAGCATCTTTCCCTGCGCCCCCTCCCAAACCCAGCCTCCAGACAATCCAGAAAGTGAGGCAGACAGGCTCTGTGAGGCTGCCCAGAGCGGGCCCTGGCTCCTGTGCCAATTGGCTCAGTATCAGTGACCCCTGCCATCCTAGGGGTCAGGAGGAGAAGATGGAGGTCAACTGAACAGAAGGACTTAACGCTGTTTAGAGGGAAAAGAAGGCAGGGCCCTTCCTTCCTAGATTCCACCATGGAGCTGGGCTGGGGACACGGAGCAAGTGGTAATCTGGCATCATAGGATTTTAGACTCTGGAATTTTCCATTCATTCACTCATTCCTTTGTTCTTTTTATTATTATGGGGCCTATGTGTGTAGAACACATATTGGGAGCCTCCATTCTAAGAGCTGGGAACAAACTAAATGAAGTCCTTTTTCTGCAGTGGGCAGCAAGCTTATTTGCGCACATGTTCACAAAATGCCTAGAGGCCGTATGCTTCCATTAGGAGAGTTCTGGGTTCAAAGATGCTTCCTGCTGGGCACTCTGGGACAAAGCACTGGACCTCTCTGAGCTCCGGTGCTCTCCCCTGAGAGGAACTGTCCTGCTCTATCTCAGGCTGTCCCCAGGTGTGAGTGAGTTGGGGATGTGCAGCATTTGTCAGGTAGCAGGTCCTCGGGGGGCAGGGGCAGCCCACCTCAAGTCCTCCTAGAGCCGCACAGACCGGCCTGGCCACCGTGCTCCCTCTCACAGTGCTCCCTCTCTCCACTCCAGGCTGTGACCTCAGCACGGGGATGGCGCCAGCTGCCTCCGCTCCCGCGAGCCGCCTCTCCCTCCCTGCTCTGCCCTCTGCCAGCCGAGAAGGCCACAGCTCACCACAGAGGCCCACCCGGCCAGCCTGGGAGCACGCACGCCCCCACCCCAGACGTGTGCGGCCCCCGGGGCGACGGTGTCGCCGTGTGAGATGCGGGGGGCCGGGGGTGGGGAGAAGAGAGCTGCAGGCTGCGCGTGGCGTGGGCCGTGGAGGCTGGGATGGGAGGCGGGGGGGCCCTCGGACAGGTCAGCGTGCGTGCGTCTGTCTCCATCTCCGCGTGGACTGGGCTGTCTGTCTTCCTCCCAGCTGGACGGGGAGGAGCTGCACCGCCCTGCCGCAGGGCGCAGCGCGCGGCTCCTGGGCAGGCGGGGGCAGACATCAGGATCCTGTGCGGGCTGGGTCCAGGCCACTAGGTCAAGGTCAAGGTCAAGGCGGGAGGGGGTGCTTCCTGTGGAAGCTTCTGTTTCCAGAGGCTCCACCCCCAGCCTGAAGTGGCAGGGGTGCCCCTGTGTTCCACCCCCAAGGGCAGCCGAACAGCCCCACATGTCTCCTGAGGGCCGCTCCCTGGGGACCCCAGTCCTGCCTCGTCTCCTGCCGTGTGAGCATGTCGCCCCACCTCACCTCTCCGTACAGCCTCCCTGAAGCGAGGGCTTTGGGCGAGGGGGTTCTGGTACATTCTTTCCTCCTCCAAGGCGGATGTGGATCTGAGGGGCCTGTGGGGGGGTCTCAGGATGTGTCTGTGGCGCTGCAGGAGCCCCAGTGTGGAGGTGTGGGAGTGTGTGTGGAGCTGGCCGTTCTCTAGCCCGGTGCTGGGTCCCTGGGTGGCCTCTCTGTTAGGAGCCGGGGTCCCCTGGCCTGTGTGTGATTGCTCCGTGTCCCCTCTGCCTGTCCCTCGTCCTGTTCCCCACCCGGGCTGGCAGACTGTCCTTCCTGAAGGTCACTGGGAGCCACTGGGGTGTGGGGGAGAGAGAGGTGAGGAGAGTCTTGCCGTGGTTTGTCCATGACCCCTTTGAGGGGACCTGACCCACCAGAGACATCTGCCCCCAGCACAGCGATGGCACACAGGTGGCCGGGCCGCAGCGGGAGGCGCAGGGCTGGTCTGTGGCCTCCTTAGAGGCTGGGACTCCGTAGAGGCTGCCCGTTCTTGGTGGTATGATGGGACCTGGGAGCCACAAACCTACCAGAGCTGAGACTCAAAATCCAGCCCAACGTGCAGGGTCTCCTGCACCCTGGCTACCGCCAGCTGCCCTGAGCTCTGGGCCCCAGCCTGCTTGGGAGCCAGGAAGAATGGTGGCAGTGACCCCAGGGCCGAGCCGGCCGTCCACAGCCCTCCGGTGCCACTCTGCACTTACCGCCTGCGGAGACACCCCCTTTCCCAGGCCATTCCTCCTCTTCATCTTCGGGGCCTGTGGCTCCCCACATGTGGATCTTGGATACTTCCCAGGCATGTTGGGAGCTCCGGCATCCTGGGGGCCAGTGTATAGAGCCTTGCCTGCCGCGCAGCCCCCTCCTCAGACCAGCTCTGTGACCGTGGGCCACGCTGGGCACAGCCTGGACTCTGCCCAGCTGCCCACTGAGTGCCCGAGTCCAACCACTGGCTTCTCGAATCCTTCCAGAACCTCTCGGCTCAGTCGTGGGCCCTGGTACCAAGAGCGCACGCAGATGGGAAGGGCTGGGCGGGTGAGCCGCCACGGCCTCTCGCCTCGCCTTCCCCCTTCCAGGATTCAGCCAAGGCCCAGCCACGCCTTGGCAGGACCCAGGGGGGCCGCCTCGGTGATTGTCTGTGGGTCCATCAGCGTTGGGGTCGATGGCAGGGCCGGGGGGCTCAGGGAGAGCCCTGTCACCACCGCCTCTCTCCTCCATCTTTCTGGCATGGGTTCACCTTCCAAGATGGCTAATGCTCCAGGCTCGGGGTCTCCCTGGCTCCTCCCAGGCCTCGTAGTAGCCCCTTTTATAAAGTGCACACATTTAAATCTGAACCCATTCCCCTCTGACGGGCCTCGGTATGTGCGCAGAGGACTCCCCAGAGGAGAATGTGTCCGCTCATTCTTTGGAAAGAGAAGAGGCTACGTTTGTCCATCTAACCACTAGCCCGGCCCTCCGTGCGTCCAGGCGGTCCGTGCGGGTTGGTGTTTGTGTGTGGGTCCTTGCTGTGCTCCGGAAAGCATCGGCTTCTTGTTCAGTTTCACGGTCAGCAAAGCCATCTAGACATCAAGACTTGCATGCAGGTGGTGCAGGGGCGAAGCACCATAGAACAGTTACTCCACCACCTTCGCGGGCCACGGCGTTGTGTGTGGGATTCTGTCTGCTCCTCCAGGTCAGGTGTTCTCCTGGCCTGGGGTGGGGCGGGCCATCCCCCACCCCCACCCCCTCCACCAGAGGCATGCTAGAAACTCCGCATCGCTCAGGTCCATCTTGTCCTTGGCCCCCTGTTCCTGCTCAAAGGAAAGAATCTGATGGGCACGAAGCTCCCGCTCCTGCTGTTTGTGTCCATCCCGGAGGACCACGCCTTGTGTGGTGTCCTGCCATGGTGATCCTCACAAGCCAGTGCCAGAAAGCACACATGCACCAATCACACACGCGCACACAACACACCCAGATCCCTCCCTCCCCTCCTGCAGCCTCTGTCCCCAGCGGGGCGTGGCCCCTGGACAGCCACCATCCAGTGGGATCCAGAGCTGGGGCTCACCAGCTCAGGCCTGGGAGCCTCACCCCGCTCTGCCAGATGGTTTCCTTAACACTTGATCTTTCATTGAGGGGGGAAAGAATCAAAGGGAGATGAACTCCTAACTTGGGGAATTGGACTTGTTTCCTGTTAACACACCATCTTTTACTGGGACAGGCACTGTCCTTTAGGAACCGGCCAGCCCCAGAGGGACAGATCTGACCGTGGGTAGGCGTAGATGGGGCTCTGACAAGGAGGGCTGCCATCAGGAGACATCCGTTGGGGCTGTCCGGGGAGAGCGCTCTTCTTGTCAGCGATGTCACCTCATGGCCGGCACCCCATCTTTGGTGCCCCATCAGATGCCGACCTAATGTTGGAATAAGGCCCCATCCTCTTGACCTAATTGGACCCCATCTCTTCGGAGGCCCATCTTCAAACGCAAGCATCGGCCTCGGCGTGAGGATTTGCAGCTCATCTCTGCTCTTCGCCGGCTGCTTCCTCACGTAAGGCTCACCTTGCAGTCCCCAGATAGCTCCTCTTGTCCCTGCCCCCTGCCAGCCACAACGGAAGTGTGTTCTCTCCACCTTGCGGAAGTCAGAAGCCCAGTGCTGCGTGGCCCTGGGCCCTGGGAGCTGCAGGGGGTCTTCCTCCTCCCTTCACTTGCAGCGGGTTGGTGGCTGCTTCCTTCCAGTCCCTGCCTCTGGCCTCCCATGTGCCGGTCACCTCCAGTCTCTGTTGTCACGTGACCATCTTGTAAGGACATCAGTTGAGTTCTGGAGCCCACCTTAATTGCAGCTCCTATTAACTAACCGGATACGCTGTGCTCTGGTCTGCGAGCCTCGTGCGGCCCTCAGGGCTTTGGGGCGGGGCTTCGGCGTAGCTGTTCTTTGAGGGCAGATGCCCTCAAACGTTTTCTGGCAGGGCTGGGGTGGTACCACCCACGGCACCTTTCCAGAAGCTTCCTCAAGTGTGTTCAGAGCCTTGTCTGAAGGGGTGGGTGACAGTGCGCTCACAGGCCACGTCTGCCATCCACAGGGCTGTTTGTATTCCAGCCTCCGAGGTAGGGAGGGAGGAGTTCAAATCCCAGCATGGCCAAACAGAATGTGACTTCTGATTGCTCTGTGGCAGGTTCTAGTGGATCCCCACTTCCACCCCTGTTCCCTGAAACACTTGTGACAGCAGCCTCTTCCTCTCCTTCCCCCTCCCCCTCCCCCAGGACACGGCCCCAGACCGGGAGCTGAGGAGAGAGCCACACGGTGAATAGTAGATGTGAAATACAGCCCCCCCCCCCCGTGCTGAGATTGTTTATGCCAGCCCGCTGTGCTGTTCCCATTAG